CTTTAGCTTACTTTTGCTTTACCCTGTATCTAGTGCTGGGCAATGGGTGATCTCTGCCCTGCAAACCCCAGCTCACAGAGTTTTCTGCTGCATTTGGAGAATTTGAGCAACAATACATCTGTACTGAAAAACACAACATGCAGAGACAGAGAGAAACAATTTCTTTGTTGACACATTGAGAGGATAGAATTTAGTTCCCAGCTGTATCAATGGCTCCCATGTAACATTTCAGTCCTCACTTCCCATATGAAGCTTCACCACTTAGACAAGCTTAAATCTTATTCTTTTAAACCTAGATTTTAGATCTGACACTGATGCATGACTCATCAGTCTGATTAGTTATTGTGTATGAAATTCAGGTCAAAATGAAGACACTAAAGCACAGGAATCTGAACTCCCGTTAGAGGCAAAAAACTCAAGATCCAGAAATAAAAAGACTGACTCAGCTCGTTCTGAAGTGCCCATCTACTGGCTGGTCCCTCTTGGCTCTCCAAACACTACTGACTGCACCAGCACTGACCTCAACTAAGGACAATGGGAAAGTCAATTTTCTAGCCATTGCAGCCTTGCACTGCATCCTTTCTTCAGATTCACTCACACTCATGACCACGCTGATGCTGTGACAATATGAAGCCACACATCATACCAACCTGCAAACATACCGTCACCTTGCACCAACGTTTTCACAGAAAACTTAATCAACTTGAACAACTTCTCCCAGCAAACTTACAACACACTGAAACTCACTGACAGATAGGACTCTACCACGAAAATACTGCCTCTGGCACCCTGGTGCTGTCGAACACAGGAAGATCCACAGATGAATGTTGCATCTACTCTGTATATACAGAAGGATCAATATCTTTATTTACCAGTTATCAATTGCTACCAGACAAGCTAACCTGAAGGTGTGTCTTCTACTTGAAAGAGAATAATCTTCTCCAGAAAAAAGATTAACACAAACACAGTTCAGATTTAACGTACTGCAAAATCTTCACTGTCTGAAGGACTCTTGTATTTGCAGTCCTTTTCAAAAATTAATAGATTTTCCTGCATGTTCTACAAGAACAGCACATCAGAGATGGTATTTCCATGGAGAAGCTCTAACACAGTATTAGCTGTCTTATCTGCAATATGAGCCTAAGTATGCACAACTGTGTAAGGCACAAGTTTTGCATGAATGGTCTTTCAAAAACACTCCTGCATTACAATGAAAATTCAAGTATAACTCAGCTGATTTTTATCCTTCCTACATCTGTTAAAAATGCTAGAATTTCTGATGCAACACAAGTTCATATTATTCTTATTAGATATTACTAGACATTGTGACATTTTTTAATATAAGAAGAGTAACAGAGAACACATTTTTTCACTAAACTATCATTGTACTAGTTGTGACGGTTTAGATGAACATACCACAGATCACCCAGAAGAACCTGCCTGGTTTTGCAATGGTTTGCCACACATCCTTGTGGTAACACTGTTTTAACACAAGATTACATGGCATACAGCCATGAATCCCAAAATCCCAATGATTTATTTAGCATGCACTGCGCTAACTAGCACAAAATGCTGTTGTGGGTGTTTTGTACTGGCACAAATGCTGTGCCACAGTACCACATCTCATCTACTGTTTGCCACTGTTTATAAAGAGGTGGCTGCTTCCTTCCATAAAATAACTAACAGCAATAGAATTAGGCAAATATTTACAAAGTAACTCAGTGTGAACCACTGCCTCTAAAAGCAAGCAAATTTTTTTTGAACGGTGTCTTTATTCTTTTATAGAGCTCTTTGCTTTGTCAATATGCAGAACAAAATAAGCCTGTCAGGAAACTCTGCATTTGTTATCAGCTCATTCTCCTTAGATGGCAGTACTGTAAATATTTTTCTTCATTATCACCCTGACAGTAAATAACTTTGAAGGTGTGATTTAATCGACA